CAATGATAAATTTCCCATTAGTTTGTTTGTCAAAAACGATTTACTATGTAAATTAAATTAGTTCAAGTAAAAGTTTATTTTGACTATAAGGTCTTTCATTAACAACATTACGATTTAAAATATGAAAGTTCAACTCTGACACTGCGAATAAAATGGATGAAAATCATAGGATTGCGAATGATTTTGAAAATCTACTTGTTATTGGAGACGACGACAACCACAACAGACAAGAAAATGCTAGTCAAATTAATACGTCAAGTGAAAATTGTGGACATAGAGAAAATCTAAGAGGACGGAGAGACTTGAATAATCTCGATAATGATATTATTAATTTGAATGAAATTGAGAACAGACATGTTGGCAATCAAGAGCAAAATCTAGGAAGATCAAATTCAAATGTACTGTCTCAGGTGGTTAATCGTCAGAAAATACAGAAGAAGATAATGTAGACGCTCAGGAATTGACCATCAATTTGTTTCAACAAGTACCACAAGAAATAATGGTTTTTCATTGGAACATCTGGGAAGTTCAAATGTACTATCTGAGGTGGTTAATCGTCAGAAAAATACAAACGAGGATGTAGATTGCGTGATAAGTGACCATCAATTTACTCAAACAAACACAACAAAAAATAATGGTTCACCACAGATCAATCATCATTTTCAAGGTAGGAAATGAACTTTATCAAAAGCATCTGACTATTGTTACTGGTAGTGTACATTAAGGGGGGAGGGGTTGTCTATATACCTCTGCAATACATGAGACATTTCCTACATAATTTTATTGGAGAAAGTTTTTGTTGCCCAACTTACTTTTGACCCACATGTTTTGTCAAGTTTTTAACTATTGATTTTTGCTGTCCAATTAATTCCTGTTTAGCATGGAAACTTTTACTTAATGTCCACAGCTGCACTCAGAAGGCTATCCTTGATGTCCTAAATACTTCTGAGCATTGCATTCCATGGAACAATACTGTTGTTTTGGTGGTGAAGAAGTCAACTTTTCATAAATGATGAAGCCACTTCAAGGAATCATGTTGAATTAGTTGGCCATATTTTGTCAGATAAGCTCGGTTTATTATCAGGAATGCAGAAGCAAAAAATGATTTACTTCAACCAGCAAAGAATCAAAAGTAATTCTAAATGGATTCAATTAAAGACAGGAGATGAAATAGCAATTGCAGGCTTGGTGTTCACCATTAATATCGCTTCCTGGAACATTTCATGATATGTTTATTATTCAGTTTGATTTGCCAAAGGTTTATGGACAGGCTTGTTGATGTATCTGTCATGTTAATCTTTTTCAAGTTGAATTGACATGCATATCTGTATATAACAGCATGTTTAAAAAATGCCACATTCAACACAGGTTATAATGAAACAAAGGATATTCTGAAAACTGGCATTTTGAAAATCAAAATATTGTAAAGCCCAACTTATTTTGTATTTGATTGACACAATGACGTTTTTCATTATTTCTGTTTTTGATGAAACTTGTATTATCAAAGTCTCAAGACCTGGGCTCAAAAAGAAATGGTGAGCTTCCTAAGGCAACAGCAAGTCATTATAAAATTTTGGCAGTTTTTGATAGCATAGGAAGTTCACTTGGTCACCAGACAAAACTTTTAATGTCAGCTCATATTTTCCTTTTTTTTTGAGCCTTGCAGAGAACTGATTAATTCACCACAGTATATGTTACTGTCTGAAACAGCAATTCTAAATCAAACATTTTAGCTCACAAGGGAAACTCCAAGGAAGAACTCACTACAGTATATGTTACTGTCTGTTAGCAATTTCTAAATCAAACATTTTTAGCTCACACAGGAAACTCCAAGGGAAGAACTCACCTACAGTATATGTTACTGTCTGAACAGCAATTTCTAAATCAAACATTTTTAGCTCACACAAGGGAAACTCCAAGGAAGAACTCACCTACAGTATATGTTACTGTCTGAAACAGCAGTTTCTAAATCAAACATTTTAGCTCACACAAGGGAAACTCAAGGGAAGAACTCACCTACAGTATATGGTTGTCAAACAGCAGTTTAAATCAAACATTTTTGCTCACAAAGGGAAACTGGAAGAACTCACCTACAGTATATGTTACTGTCTGAAACAGCAGTTTCTAAATCAAACATTTTTTAGCTCACACAAGGGAAACTCCAAGGGAAGAACCGATTGACCGCGAAATATCATTTGAAATGGTTCAGAATGCTTTCAAACCCTATGAAGGAAAGGAAGGTTATATCGATTTGGCCAATTTACAATACATTGCTCTTGAGGTTGTTGGCGAATGGAAAGAACTTGGTCGAGAACTGGGATTGTTTGATTGGCGAGTTATAATAATAGACAATGACTACAGAAAAATTGCTGAAAAAAGCTATCAAATGATGAAGACTTGGGTTTACTTGAAACCACATGAAGCAACACTTGAAAATTTGGGTTCAGCTTTGAAACATTTAACGGTTGAACGCAGAGACCTGGCCGAAAAATATTGTAACATCGCCGTGAAACCACGGCGAAAAGAAATGGCCACAATTGATTTTAAATAATGGGTATAAAATTTTGTAATTAACAGATTTTGTAATTTTATTCTAGAATCTCTAAATTTAGATTTAAAGCATTTTTATGGGGGCTGGTGAAATACTACTATTTATCTGAAAAAGACAATAGTCGATTGCATATTCTGCGAACTAATTATGGTTTCAGCTTTCGTGTTTAAGGTTTTTACTTTAAAAGCGAATAAGGCGCGACGAAAAAGTGTATCCTTTCCTCTATTTAAGAAAACAAATGTGCAGCAGTTTTTACACGATTTCATTTATTATGTTTAATTTTGTGTATTGTATAGCAAAGAGCAAATAAAAAAAATTCAACAAATCGCATGATTAGAAAATTAGCTAAAATTTATAAAAATCAATTATATAATCATAAAATTAGAAAATTCAAATAGTATAATTAATTCGATAGTCGTGAAATTAGAACAATTTTTAAAATTATGAAAAAATAATGGTAAAATTAGAAACAATTTTCCAATTTTATAAACAATAATTAAATCATCGTAAATTTCAAATTTAAATGTCCTATGATGCAATCTCCATTTTCATATTAAAATCACTCAACAAAACATAGCGATGACAGTCTTGGAAAGTCACATTTCTCTTACAGGCAACAAAATAGTGCAATATGCGTCAATATAGCTACAATTGGCACGTCACAACAAATGCACGAATAAAACGAAAATTAAAACGACCACTTTGTGTCGACTCGACCTACTTCAACAATATCGAAATTTGGGACAGGTATTAATTTCTACTATTTTTAGAAGACGGATTTAATATCGAAAGGTATTTGCTCCAGCGCTAGTTTCACTACGATAGTAGTAATTTCCCGCGCTGAATATTCGGAAAGCGCGCGAGCTGTCCGCTAAAGGAAGCTCCATACAATTATTCATGACGGTCTTGTCAGACATAACTTTTACATATCTCATTACATTCAACATGCATCACATTCCAAAATGTTTTCATCCCTTCCATTCCCTTGTTACCTGTGCCATATAACATTTTATTTCGACTGTGTATCTGTGGATCGGTTAGGAATGTTGTGGATCGATGATCATCAGTTGTCCATCCTTGATGATCAGTGATGAGTAATTCACCAGATTTCTCGTAGGTAAAATGGCTGAAACGGAATAAAATGGATGTTTATGTCATTATAACCTGACTCAATATTGTTCTATACGTTTTATAGTCTTTGTTAGATTCTTTGCGCTTCATGCTAATTTTTCGTATTCAACTATTACCTCCCTTGTACTATTTTCTAATTGTAATTTTGATATTATATACGTACAATAAATAAAATAATTTGTAGAGAGTTCACGCTGTACAGCAGACTGCCATTTTCTTTGTTTGGCATAGAATAGAGAATACATAGATGGGCAACTCGAGTCTCAAATTCTACATTTTAACCCACTGTACATCTCCCACTTCGTTTACTTTCGTGGTAAACATTCTACGCTTTACTGGCCAGAGTAATGGCGGCCGTTAAATTTTTTACATTTAAAGATTTCTAGATGAAATTGCCACCAAGAGAGAAGACAAAAGCATAAAAATGTTTTGGTGCAAATTAAATGATGACATCGCTTCACCACTGCCTGTAGTGCATACGACATACAAGAAATACTAAAGTAAATGATTTGAACCCGGAAGTATCGTTACATGTTTGTAGATGGAGATCGTCCAGGTTGGTATAGACCTGAGAAGGACTGTTTTTGTTGTTGTCGACTGACGTTTTGACAACCTTAGCGGTTTGACTCTGAAGATGACTACCGCTAAGGTTGTCGAATCAGTCAACAACTTTAAAATAGTCCTCAGACTATACCAACCTGGACGATCTTCTAAACATACAAAATACAATAGGAAATAGTAGGCTATCAAAAAATACTGGCACCACAATTCTCAGTGTTCTACAAAATACTTTGGTAGAAAAACAGGAGCGATGGAAGACATCTGATGGATAAATACACCGAGTTTAATTCAAAAATAGATTTGGTCAAAAAATAGTTTAGTCAAAAAGTAGGTTTGTTCAATAAATAGGTTAAGTCAAAATATAGGTTTAGTCAAAAATGAAACTTGTGGGAAAAATCGTTAGATTTATCTTCAACAAACCTGAATACCAGCACCAATTTACAACCAACACCATTTGTATTGACAAAGTCCCAGTTGTTGGTTAATCTGGTAAAGTTTCCTTGCATGTATGGTTCAACATTGTAAATCATAGAAGTCGGTTGACCATCACGTTTGAAGAGTTGAAGCATTACAACTGGTAAGAATTGGATTGGAATGACTTCAATTCCTGAAAATGGATAGCAATTTGTAGAAAGGATGGTAGAATCCATGAGCAAGTTGAAAGACAGTTTTTTCATCGAGAAAGCTATCTACTTATCATCATACTTCAAGCATATTAGAAGTTTTGAAATTTTATTGAATAAAGACGGTTGTCTGACTTCCAGTAACTATGTATATTAAACTCATTCCGCGTGATGTTTTTGTGTTTGTTTTAAACACCGCAAATACCGTGTTTGAAATAATTCATTAACCTTTCTTGTACAATTCTTCATTAAACATTCCTACGTAGTAACGGGCAGTCATCTGACACGTGACATCCTCCAGGTATTGCTCAACAGCACGTGACTTCTTGTATTGTTTTCCAAGATACTTTCCCATAGGCTCATCCTGACTAAGGTATTCTACCATGTAGGGATCCCTTAAAGCTCCTTCCTTCTCTTTGGAGAGACTCAGAGGTTCCCCGATGTACACAAGAGTCCTGTGAGTTCGCCAGCGAGCTCGAATTGCGTCATACGACCTTATTTCACATTCTAAAGGGAAAACAAGATATTGTCAGTTCTACCGAAAGGCATTGCACAAACATATACCTTGACAAGCCGTAGGGATTTTAAGGTCGACCCCGTCTCTCAGATGCATGTATTTTACATGTTTGTGGATGTAGATCGTCCAGGTTAGTAACTTGTACGATCTACATCAACAAACTTTAAAGATACTCCCAGGTTCAAACCATTCACTTTATTACATGTTTTTGTCTGATGAGTTTAAACTCGTTTCGTGATTGCTGGTTGCCACATGGCAACGGTGGGAAAAAACAATTAAATCAATTTAATTACGATTCAATTTCTTTGTTAAGTGTCTCAAGGCTGATTTCCATTAGTGCAAATTGTCACGTGATCGACTTTTCGCGATCAAGTTCTTTTGAATTGTGTCTAGCAGTGTAAAACTGTTCCGGTCGAGAGCTTACAATGGAAAAAAAGTGCTCGGAAAAAGTCGATCGCGCGACAATTTGCATTGAATGGAAATCAGCCTTTAGCAAGATACAAATTGCAGTGGTGATACAAGTTGATGACTTGGAACCACGTACGCATGTGGAAATAAAATATATCAAAATATTTTCCAACTTCACATACGCCATTCGTGATATCAGGAAAGAAGAAAGGCGAAAAACATGGCGTACTTCAGAGTTAACAATTTTCAGTTTGAGCACGCGCGCTGGAATAAGGGCAGTAATCAATAACAGGGAATTGCAAAGAAGCAGAAGCGGTCAAAAGATGAGGTCATCTGTTTTAGTATACAATTAAGTTTTACCAAGCAATGTACTGAAGATACATACCATGTACATCGTTATCCCCTTCGTCATCGGAGTCACTTCGGTAAAAAGATGGCGTGACAGCTGGAGATTGAGTATCGATGGTTAAAGTTTCTGTAGTCTCGGAAATTCTATCAACCATTTCAGCAGAAGATTGAGTATTGATTGTTTCTGCTGTCTCCGAAATTCGATCAACCATTGGAGCTTTTTCTAAAAGGAAACATTCAATTAATTTTTTTGGTTTCTGGTGCTGAAACTCTCATGTCTTGAAACATCATCGATTTCAAACTAAATTTCACATAGAGTATTATAATTATTACCAAATTAAGTATTATAATTATTACCAAATTAAGTATTATAATTATTACCAAATTAAGTATTATAATTATTACCAAATTAAGTTATTATAATTATTACCAAATTAAGTATTATGTTTTACAAAATAACACAATAGAACGGTTCCACAGATTGGTCTATAGCCGTGTCTGCATTTAGCCTGTAGCTACCAATCTGAGCTCAACCAATCAAAATCAATCAATCAAAAATTTCATATCAATCACAAATACATGTAGAAGGAAAAATTAAAACTTGTGTTTTAAATTTGTCTGTTTCGCATTATTATTATTTCATAAAAGAAATAAAAGATGTTTTTTTGTTTGCACTGACTTATGCAAACTTCGGAGACGTTTGTGAGAACTCTCGAGCAGATGCAACCCTCGACCAAAGGCCTCCTTGGTATGCATAAGCATGTGCAAACTATAAACATTTTTTAATTCTTAAATCAAACATGTGAGACGAACGACAAACCTCTTCAATGTCAACATGTTTCTACTAAATGTTTGCTTTAAATAAATGTCGGATAACTCCATAAGTTCAAGATCATGTGAAAGTAAAACACGATTTTACGTTACTGTCTCACATGTTTGTAGACACGTAGATTGTCCAGGATAGCGAAGTCCTGAGCACTGTTGGTGTTGTTGACTGACGTTTGGACATTCTAAGTTGTGGTTATCCTCGTGAAGAGAATATGTCAGGTTGACCATATTATAAGCAGTCAACATTAACACCAACAGTTCTTTTCTGGACTGCACTAAACATGCAACGATACTCCTGGGTTCAAATCATGCATTTTCACTTTATATATTATAACTTAAATTAACCTATATTATTATATGGCAAGCGTCACTTCCGGCCAAAAGGCTCATAAACATTTGTGCCGGTCCATTATTTTCCCGTAATCGACCACGGTTCAAAAACGCGTATATTTATATTCAAATGTAAACAAACTTCGTGAAGCAAACAGCGACATGAAACAAAAAACCATTTACGAAAATGAGTCGATGGAAAAACAATTGGAAAACAGTTTAACTATCCAGACGATACAATTTGAAGAGATTCATTTCTTACTGACGAAAACTAGGAAAATGAAAGCAACCCGTACAGAAACAACAAAGACGAGAAGAAAGCAAGCTTCATTTCAGGTCAAATAATGCCATATAATAATCCTTAACCCTAACCCTAACCCTAACCCTCGCCCTACGGGCTCGGTTCGTACAAAAAAACTTCGGTCCGATATTTCTCCGTAACGACCTCGAGCTCGGTTATTAAGGGCTTAGTAAAGGATTTGTTTATAACAACACAAAAAAAATAGCGATAAAATAAATACCACAGCTATCATGAAGTCGTAGTTCTTTTCGTCTCAAGTAAAGCGGTTCCGTTGTGCCGTATGTAAAACGATCAATTTCAACATAGGAAGGAAGGTCAAGAATCGTTAATGCCGCGTTGATCTTCTTTTTACTGTATTCATTGTGAGTGATAGTGGTTGGATTAAGACAATAATGAAGGAACAAGGTCATGGAACAGGACTTCAACAAATATGACATAATTCTTTGATTCGTTTGGCTGTATTGTAATACACAACTTGCTTTGTACAAAGCATTGATAAATTCATAATACTGTTCTCTGCTTTTTAGAGAATCCAAGTTTTTGTGAGCGGCCAAGCTTTCCTTCAGTTCGACCAGAGCGCTTTCAAGATAATGAGAGTTATTCTCTTCTGTTTTTGATTTCCAGTACTCAAAAAGCATTTCTCCTGCCCGACGCTACAAAAAGTGAAAAGGTTTAGAACTTTAGAGCGCTGTGCAGTTGATAACGTAGATTGGATCTAAATCATCTACTTGAACTGTTTTTGGAATAAATAGCTCGCTTACAATACAGTAGAACCTGTATTAAGGGACACCGTATTAAGCAGTCACCCTGTTTTCAGCGGTCATATGGCAAAGTCCCGAAAATTTCATAGTATAAGTACTACTAAAGTGACTTTTATTAAAGTCACCTCTATTAAGCGGACACTTGGTCCCTTGGGAATGTCCCAAACTTAATTTTTCATTGTACAATTGGACATGTATTTATATTTATGTATTTATCTTCCGTAATGACTCAAAAGAGCAACAATATTTTCTGTTTTTGTGGACGAATTACAACAGTAATTTAAACTTTTCTTATGTCCCTTCAGCCATTGACATGAAAACATATCTCCAAGAAAGGGATATATATATACACGGGATTTATAAGTTATAACCACTTTCTCTGTTGACACGCTTTTGATTATTTTTCAGCAGTTTGAGCCGTGACATTATTATGTATACTATTTTAAATTTCCAGATGAAACTAAGAAAAATTGCTTTGCATCGTGTTGTTATTTGATTACACGTAGCCCGTCTGGCGATTTTCCTGAAAACCTATATTAAGCGGTCAACCATTAAACGGTCACACGAGAAATCCCTAAGGTTGACCGCTTAATACAGGTTCTACTGTATATAGTATATGCAAATAGCACCGGAGGCTGAGTGTCACAGTTGCAGTGGCGGAGGTCCAGACGTCGGCACTCTCCCAGCGCACCACCTAAGTGTACCGATGAACTCAAGCTTGCTAATGACATAGCGCAGCATAAACCGAATTTCCACCGAAATTTCAACATGCGATGCTCTAGTGCTCAATTATCTCGGTGTAAAGGAAGCATGGACTGAAAACGGGATAATATGCTTTCAAAATTTTTCTATTGTTTACATGAGCTTTCCTCATAAATTAAACCATAACATTCAAAAAACTTTTAAAATACAACTCACTAACTTACTATGTGTATACCTTGTGTCGAGCAAAGAATAATGGTGTATATTTCGCCAGATCTGCAGCCTCGATGGCAAACTTATAAGCCTGCATATAGGGATGTTTTTCTTTCAAATCATATTTCTGTGAGATTAGATTGAAATCATCAATGGGGATCTGTTGAAATGTGTTGACCAACAAACCCAAACTACAAGAAAGACCTTTCTTGTCGACTTTAGGAAGGTTTTAAGACGTAAACAGAATCGAGAAGGAGCACTGCCGAGTTGTACCACTGACCGAGAGTGGACTGGATCTCACCTTTGATTTGAACGCAAACACCCCGTATGAGGTCATGATCGTGTTTTCTTTGTATTTCCACATTCCAACATTTTGTTTTCGTTCAACAATGCGTCAAGGATTCTTCCAGCGCCTGTGATTGTATTATAGTACATGGTAATGTAAGGCAAAGCAGGAAGTTCTCAACAAATCACTCGTGTAAACATATTTATGAATGAAAAATAGTGAACAAGAACAGTCTCTACACTATCTAATACATATATAACTTATTATATAATATAAGAATAAGATAACGTGTGTCAGTGTAGGTAGTGATGAATGAACAACAAGAACAAGAACAATCTTTACACTAACTAATATGTAAGAAATAAAATAACGTTTGTCAGTGTAGGTGATGAATGAACAACAGAGAACAAGAACAGTCTTTACACTAACTAAAATATATAAGAAATAAGATAACGTTTGTCAGTGTAGGTTGTGATGAATGAACAGAGAACAAGAACAGTCTTTACACTAACTAAAATATGTAAGAAAGAAAATAACGTTTGTCAGCGTAGGTAGTGATGAATGAACAGAGAACAAGAACAGTCTTTACACTAACTAAAATATGTAAGAAATAAAATAACGTTTGTCAGTGTAGGTAGTGATGAATGAACAACAGAGAACGAGAACAGTCTTTACACTAACTAAAATATATAAGAAATAAGATAACGTTTGTCAGCGTAGGTAGTGATGAATGAACAGAGAACAAGAACAGTCTTTACACTAACTAAAATATGTAAGAAATAAAATAACGTTTGTCAGTGTAGGTAGTGATGAATGAACAGAGAAAAAGAACAGTCTTTACACTATCTAAAATATATAAGAAATAAGATAACGTATGTCAGTGTAGGTAGTGATGAATGAACAACAGAGAACGAGAACAGTCTTTACACTATCTAAAATATATAAGAAAGATAACGTGTGTCAGTGTATGTAGTGATGAATGAACAACAGAGTACGAGAACAGTCTTTACATTAACTAAATATATAAGAAATAAGATAACGTGTGTCAGTGTAGGTAGTGATGAATGAACAGAGAACAAAACAGTCTTTATACTATCTAAAATATTTAAGAAATAAGATAACGTGTGTCAGTGTAGGTAGTGATGAATGAGCAACAAAAACAAGAAAATCTAAAGTTGCTGAATTTGTAAAGCGTAAAGAAATAGTTTTCACCATACATGCCAGACACTGACAAATTACTACACCGACCTTGTAAGTCTCCAGAAGTTCTTAAAACACGTGCCTTTCTGATACGAAGCTGTGGGGCAATAGGTATTTCAGGTTTTCTTTCATAATAAAATCAACCATATCAAGAAGAGTTTGAGAACCTCCTGCCAATAGATGTATCGGTCGATAAGAAACAGAATGGCTGCCATATTTTCGTACTCTTTTCTTTGTACAGAATGGTGGAGAATTTCCTTATAACATAAACATGACATCATCCGTATTTTTTTGAACATTGAAATGTTTATTGACGCGCAGATTATTTAGAATTGATATGGAAGAATGCGAGTACAGTTTATTTTTTACAATCTATTCAACCAAGAACCCATGTGCATTTATTTATGAATGAATGCATTAGCTGCGACTTGGTTTATCAGTGTACAGTAGGTGTTGGTCAGTATATTAAGCGTATTGTTGTGTCTCGATATTTACAAAAAAAAGATGTTTATGAAACCATGTTTGCACAGGCTTATGCAAACCGAGGAGACCTTTGGGAGAACTCGAGAGTAGATCATTGCAAGCCCAAGACCGAAGGTCGAGGGTTGCACATGCTAGAGAGTTCTCACAAACGTCTCCGAGGTTTGCATAAGCCAGTGCGAACACGAAAAACATCTTTTACTTTTTTTATAAAATAACAGTAATGCCAAACACAAATTCAAAACAAACGTTTTAAATTTTCCTTTAACATGTACTCATGATCGATTCGCAAATTCTCTTTGATTGATTGATTTAAAATATGGTAGAGCTCAGTTTGGTTTGCACAGGCTAATGCAAAATGCGAGTACTCGTTCATTGTTTTCATTTCATAAAGATTGTTGACTACCAGTACGACAAAATAAGGAATATACAGAAAGGTAACACATGTCTGAACCTTTGATGTTTTTGTCCTCGCGAATGTCTTGACGCGCGATATCGGCCGCCATTATTCCAGCCAGTTGATTAGGCATTTTAACCTGATTTTAACTTTTTCCCAAACACTGAAATGATCGAAATGCTTGAAATATTCTCCATTCACTACTCAGCAATTAATGACGTCATGTTCTCTGCGTGGTTGGAAACACGGGACAAACACAAAACTTAATCAACTGGCTAGAATAATGCTGAGTGAGGAAACACATGAGTGACCCTAGATTTTCCCGCGATCTGATTGGATGTGCAGCAGTGAGAAGGGGATTGGGTTGGAGTGTCTATTTGATTAAGGTCTGTGATCTCATAACTCAATTCTCAAGCAAAGCATTTGTTGGTCTCGTTTTATTTCATTAATATTTCATAAGCCACCTCTTAATTCTAAAAACATATACTTTAAATGCATTTCAAGTTTTCAAATCAAAATGAGCAAGCAAACTTTTGATTGTTGCTACAAACTGATAAATTCAATAAAGCTGCAGCAATTGGCAAAAATGTCATTCACTGTTTAGTTTGGTCTGATTTTAGTTTTCAGATGACCTCCCATGCAGTAAATAAATTAACATAAATCTACTTGATGGCTTCTCATTTTCACATTTGGAAGGAAAATTTGAATTACCAGTATTAAGCCGTTAATAACCGAGCTCGAGGTCTTGACGAAAAATATCGGACCGAGGTCTTTTATACAGACCGAGCCCGTAGGGCAAGGTTTGTACAAAAGACAGAGGTCCGATATTTCAGTAAAGACCGAGAAAGGAGGTTATTAAGATTATTATATGGCATTATTTGACCTGAAACGAAGCTTGCTTTCTTTCTCGTCCTTGCTGTTTTTACGGATTGGCTTTCGCTTTTCTAGTTTTCGTTCATAAAAAATAAACTCGTTTCAAATTTGTAAGTTTAGGTTTCAGTTTAACTGTTTTCCAAGTGTTTTCCTTCGAATCACATTCGCAAATGGTTTTTGTTTCGGTTTTTGCGTTTTATTGTTCGCTTTATGAAGTTTGTTTACATTTGACTGTAAAATTACGCGTTTTGGACCGTGGTTGATTAGGAGAAAAAAATGAACCGGCAAAAATGTTTCTGAGCCAATCAAAGCGCGCCATTTATCCGGAAGTGACTCTTGCCATGTAATAATTAGAGTCAGAAAACCCAAACAAAATCAATCAATTGATTATTGTTAAATTCTTTAGAAAAGTAATTTAATTTACTGTCTCCCATGAATGAAGGCAATAAAATTGTATGGCATGTGTAGAAATGAACTGGCTTTGTTACTGCTTGCACACTGCTACACCCAAGCCTGGAGCATTGGACTCACAAGTGACCCAAAGGCCCCATCACTACCCCTTCCAGGTCAAGACCAGGAGCATTAGACACACAAGTGACGAACAGTTTCCATCACCACCCCTTCTAAGTCAAAACCAAGAGCATTTAAAATCTTACCTGTAAAATATCAAAATTAGTCAAATGTGGAAAATTGTCTGATTTCTTGGTAATCAAATCTTTTACATTCAAACTTTTCTCTTTGCTTGCATTAAATTTGTCCACATATTGCCTGAATTAAACAGAAATTCATGTTTACTAATGACCTTATATGATATTGGTGATTTTTCGAACAGTTCACAAAACCCTATCTAAAATTGTTTCTTTACAATCCTTTGCAGGATTGCATTAACCTAGACAATCAAAATGTATAAACATGTCACACAAAAGGCGAATAATTAGGTCAAATAAATGTAGATCGTCCAAGTTAATATAGTCCAAAAGGACTGTTTTGTTGTTGTTGACTGATGTCTCGACAACCTTAGCAGTAGTCATTTTCACAGTCAAAGGTATCTTCAGAGTCAGAGCCATTTTGACTCTGAAGATGACGTTAAGGTTGTTGAAACGCCAGTCCACAACAACAAAACAGTCCTTCTCAGGACTATACCAACCTGGACGATCTACATTTACAAACATAATAACGATACTCTCAGGTTCAAACCATTTACTTTATTAGGTCAAATAAGAGAGATTTGCCTTTGACAACAAACACAGCTGATTCTCTTCTTTCAACAACTTACCACTTTTCTGGAACAAAGGGCCATGAATTGCTTTTCAGATCTTCCAAGAGACTCACCAACTCATCAGATAGTAGCCTCATCCAGCAGCGTGAAGACGTCAAATTTTTGATCAATCTTTAACATGTTTGTGTCTTCCATGTTTCTTGTGTTGACAAATTCATTAATAGAAGGACTTAACAAAGCAACTTCTTCAAAATATTTTCCATCAATTTCAGATCTAGAAAGTTCCACTAAACCAAGTTCGTTTAGTCTAGTAAGAAAGGAAGTGTCTTTCAGCGGTAGAGACCTTGAATCTTTCAGTTGTATCATAATCAATTTCTCAGAAATACTTAAATATTCCCAGAGTACATGTAATGTATCTGCAACAGAAGTTTTACTCCTGCCCATCATACATTCATTTTCCTTGATGTTCAGGATTTTTGATGCCTTAACCAACATTTTAGAAGCTTTTGGATTTAATATTTTCTCTTTCACAAAGTAACTTTGAAACATGATATCTTGCCACTGTTTTTGATAAGTAATCTTGTCAACATTAATACCATTAACCATTACTTTGGTACCTGATTCTGGAGTCCTTTGACTTCTGGAAATCACAGAAAGAACAGTAGTTTCCAGTTCTTTTATTACAGACTGTAAGAAGTCAAACATCTCTGGGTTTTCAGCATTGAAAAGATCATCAAAACAAACCAATTTAAAACTGCTAAAACTAGAATTATTGCATGCCTTTTTTCCTCAAGAGAAAATCTTTGAGAAGCAAGACGGATGATGACATCATTGAAATTCTTTTTCGATCTTGCCAATTGTATTGCACAGTTTATAACACAATCGACATTGTCATGCTTGTCAATTTTTATGAAAACTGCTTCAGATTCCTTGATATAGCAACCTTCTATCAAGCTTTTTATAATTGCCTGGCAATATGTTGTTCTACCTGATCCAGGATTGCCAACAACGTAAATGAGTCGATGTTTACTTTGATCTTCCTGAATCAGACTGCAAATCTCATCAGTTGATATGTTGGTAGAAAGTTCACTTGCTTGAGAAATAATTTCTTGCCCAAACTTACCCACTGAAAGTTCTTTTAAAGCCCAATTATTCATGCTTGATCTTGGTCAATGGACAATATAGTGCTCTGCAACAACACTTTTCGTAATTATATAAACTTCAGTCGTTGCAATCAACTTTCGAAATTCAAAATCATATCATACGAAAAGTAAAAACACCTTCAGAAGGCAAGACAACTGAGTTTTGGAGGAAAACCAACACAAGCGATACTAGTATTTAGTTCAATCTTCGGAATGCTTCTTTGTCAAATTACCAAGAATCACCCACTAGTCCCTACTCAATTTTCAAGAGCTTTTCAAAAAGCACATGACTAAATACGTCAAATCTATGGACATATCACATAAAATGTCAGTTAAACATTAAAAAGATAATCACATGCTTATGTCATTTAGCAGCGTGCACTTTGGAAGAATCTGGCTTACACAGAAAGAAAGAAGCGTGCTTCTCGATAACTTTGCACATCAAAAAAGAATTAAGTTCCGTAGCTAGGAAAGTTTTATTCGCTGTTGCGCCAGTAACGCATGACTTAATTCAAATTTTTCTTCGGGCAAGGTTAAAAATTTGAATCGCAAATTATTTTGAGCATCGTGTCAACTGTACTACGAAAGCAGGCACTCAGCTAGCCGTTTATATCTTCAACTTTTTTCGTTATGGCAGATCCTATCCAAGTATTAAAGCAGCCACATGTTATATGTCGTCTTGTTTCTATAGTAAGTATGTTGAGATTTTTTATGTTGACGTAGAAATATGTTCGCCCAAGACCAAAAGGCAAAAGCCATGTTTGTTCAAATATTATTTTTTGGACTTTGATGTTCGCGCTCTTCTTTTTGATGCCTGGATTCAGAAAACGATGTATAGAAGTTGAACAGTGGTTAACAAGATGCAACAGTTGTTCTGATGTTACCAGAAAGCAAAGTTTGTGGCCCAAATTTCTTCGTTAATTAGAAAATATTTCCGAATAATGCAAATATGCTTAAGCATCTCTGGTCGAATAGTTTTCCACTTTCGTTTTAGTACATCGGCTTTTCATTAACGAGGAACAATAATTTTTTACTTCAAATTTATTTTCTGTTTGCAGCTGGGTAAGGAAGTGTTATTGTTAGGATTTAAGTGCTAGATAAATGATACACCTTCATGGTGTCGCGGATGACTCTCAGAGTCTGACCAACAATTAACAACCAAAGACATGTGCTTGACTGTTAAGTACGTTTACTTTTTAGTCATTATGATTTAACTATTCCCCACCCTAGTCATTGACATCAGACATGGGCATACCAGGGCAGGTAGGGGGCAATAGCAGCCCCCGGACTATTGGCAGACAAGGCTAAGACAATGTAGTCTCTCCCTGTCTCCATTATGGACATGATATTTGGTGTCTGGTCTTTTCAGTCTGTTAAAAGTAGCTGGTATGGCCATGGTCTTGGACTATTGGACATTGGAAAAGCATTCAAGTGCCATATGATTTTGTCAATTTATCTCACAAATATTTAATAATTTTCTAGCTCTTTGCAATTATTGTATTTGGCTGCATTTCTGACAAAGGAAAGATAAAGTGTCAGATCATAGAAAGATATGTGTAATACGGCGGCGATAGTAGTGCTTGTAATTATGGAATAGCAATTGGTGTTATTGCATTCATTGCCTGTCTAATATTCCTTGCACTTGATTATTTCATGGATGCTATCACTAACATGGAAGTGAAGAAGTACATTTACTTGGGAGACTTGCTCTTTTCTGGTCTCTGGGCGTTCCTGTGGTTTGTAGGCTTTTGTTATCTTACTGACAAGTGGAGAAAGCAAAATGACAAGGGCGAGTTCCCATCACATGTGAAAAATAATGCTCAGGCAGCGATTGCTTTTAGCTTTTCTCAATTTTATCTTGGGTAAGCATGACCTAATATTAATAGTGTATAATTATATTATTCTTTTTTAACCAATTTATGACTGACAAGAATATTTTAATGAAACACAAAGAAATAGACCATCCATAAATGGTAAATATTTTCATTCTATAATTATCAACAAGTATTACTTTCTATTGATGGTGACATGCAATACTTGTTGGAGCTTAGGGATGGAGCGTGTGTATCATTTACAGTATCTTCGTTTTCTTGAATCAACAACTTTAGCAAAGTTTATTTTCATAGTGATAACAATAAATACAGATGTAACACTATAATTTCAGGGTTTTCAAACATTTTGGCATTCAGAAGAGTTCGATGGTGGCAACAACTTTGAGTTTGGGGACACAGTCGACAACCATATGAAAATTCACCATACTCTTCATTCCCAGATCAACCCAACGATGACGATATTATCAAGGGAAACCATTTGAACAATCTGGTGATCAATCTGGGGAATATAGACCACCCACTTACTGATTTGTAACCTCTGTCACAACTATTGCAATGACTTTATTTAACATTAGTATTTCTCTGAAAAACATACACATTTGTATGAAGTGTACGGTCAAAGCTCGCCATAAGTCTTTCACTTTTAAGGGTTGAAAGTGTTTAAATTAAATTAATCATTGGAAATAGTTGAATTTACTGTTCCTTCATAATATACATTCAAATGACGACATTTAAAGTGATCTGTGTGCTGGGTTCATTTAATAAATAAATGAATAAACCGATAAACGAATTGTTCATTATATTGTCTGTGTCATTGCTAGCTTGGTAATTAAGGGAGAGAATATTCATAATGCACACTTCCAAGTTAAGTCCTTTTGAAATCAATTGCTATTTATTGATTACATGCATCTATAAATATTAAACCCACCACAGAATAGATACATCTTAACGGAAGGTCTACTCGTGTCGGAACCTTCCGCTAGATCGTATCTTAACTACTAAGCTTGGGCTCATCTTCTTCACAAGATGATAATTACTTGTAAAAATTTCGGCAAACGTTTGCTTTAAACGTGAATTATAAGTAAAATAACATTCTCTATAATACAACTCCATATTGATTTTGTGAAATTATCTTGCTGGGAAATCACGCATGCGTAGTGAAAAATATGCCACGATTTTAGCCCTTTTAGCCGAGTGGTCCTTCTGTTAGATATTTATTGTGCCTCCACCCACTATTATCAATTTAGCTGCCAATGATTCTATAAAAATGTGGTATTTTCTTATGGGCAATGAAAAATACTCTACCAAAATGATTTTTAGATAAATTTTATTGAATTTATTGAAACACCTAAATTTGTCTTTTTACAAGTGTATAACAATCTTTTGGAAAGAGCGAGAACATCTAGGTAAAATAGATGACTTCTGGCTTATCTTACAAATTTGAATATTTTTTGTTAAATTAAAAAACATACATAACTAAGTTTACAGCATACAAGTATATGTACAAATTTATAATTATAGAATTTAAGGATAATTGACTGCCATATTTTCGGATGCAGCTCTTCTACTTGATGCATAAATTGGCCTGAAATGTGCATTTGTTTTCCCATTGCTTTCCACACTTCCTGATGAATGTCGTCTATGATTAACATCAATCAAAGGTCGCCGATGAACATTTGAAGGTGAGCAAGTTGAGTTAAAAGGCACGTGGTCGCCACTAGATGCAACATTATTGTGTCCAACAGATAAAGTTTCATTATTTGACAAATTTGATTGGTTCACGACAACTTGAAACCAACTGGGTGTTAAGAAGCTTGGTGTGGAACGCTCTATATCATCTACACCTAATTGGTCTGGAGTGCTACAAGTTTTAAGAGCCTTATTTTAGAAAACACATCCTCGTCTTCATCTGACTCTGTATCGTTCCATACCATACTTGATCATCATCGCTGACCCAAGTTCACCCATATCCTCCTCATCACCATCGTAGCCACTTGACGCTATACTGCAGCTGGTCAAATTCAACGCAGTCTCATCCGATATGTGGTCGGCAGTCTCGTCGAAAAAGCGAACGCGCATAATTAAATCTTTTAGGTCCTCGCTCGGCGGTAACTGTAAAATATCACAGATAACATTCAAAAATGTCTAATGCATCCAAACAAATGAAATTTTCGAAAACACTACGATCTTTCAGCCTTCCCTCCAATGATTCGTAGCCAGGAGCAGCGAAAGATTGATAATTGAGGTTAATATTCATTTATACATGTACTTTTACAAAATATGTTTACCGTGCTTGCAAAGATTTATGCAAAGTAAAAAAACCTTCGGGAGAAAGAGTCTCTGCTTTGCACTGATCTGCTTCTCGAGTTCTCAAAGGTCCAACTCGAAACACGGTAAACATCTTTCATTTCTTAATTGAAATTATTTGTGATTAAATGAATATGCGCATCAAGATTATCAATCTTCCGCGGTCCCTGTAAAAAAACACGGTGAAAAATTGCATTTAAAATCAAGCACCTTCAATTTGCTAACTTCGGAAAACTTCTCCGATTCATATCTATAAGGTAAAATAAGAAGATGGAAACAATGATCAATGATCTTCAAAGAGTCCTAGGGGCTGTTTACATGAGCCCGCTAGCTGGGATTCAGCGAAGCGCTAAATCATTTTTGGCAAAGATTAAATGCTTTACAACAAAAAACTTATTTGGGCAATTTCTCTATGCTCTGACTTTGTAAATTTACAAAACCTTTACAATGAATACAAATAATTTAGCCTGATTCGAAAATTACACTTAAAATGACTTATGACGCTTAAGAAAAGGTTGTAAGTTTTGCGCTTGAAGTTTATGCTCCTTTCAATTACTCAAAATCATTTCACGCCTCGCTGAATCTCGGTTACCGCGGGCTCATGTGAACATCCCTTTACATTTTTGTAAATATTTAGTGATAAAGTAGCAAATGGCATCACAACGATCTTTATATCATGTCGAAAAGATCAATTTATCCAACCTTTCTTTGACGGCTTTCAGTCGACCATTTTGTTTGTCCGTAGGGCAATCTTGTGTTAAGCTGAAATGGCATAATAAGATGACAAATGAAGGCAAAGAGTGTTAAAAATTTAATATGGAAACTCAGAGTATAGACATTAAAATCTAATCCCTCTTTTTTGATAGAGTGGTTACGTAGTCGTCTGTAATAACTATGATTGTTATCAATAACCATAAAAACTACTACCTCTCAACAAATAATTGCATTAAAAACACTGGCCATTTCACAATTCCCTGTTTAAAAATATTTTAGGAACCTCCTCAAAATACCATAACGTGTATATCAAAGAACTGCATGATTCCGCAGTAATTGAAGGCGTATTTAGACGTAAAGAAAGGTGCTTCATGCTTGGAATTTGCAATAGCTACAATTCGCATGCTGTGAGAATGAAGTTTTTTCAAGAGTACAAACATACACGAATGCTAAATGACAGTGGCTGCCATGCAAGTCAAAGGATTGCAGCTTATTCTACTCTCTCTATGCTTCCAAAGTTAAAAACCTACCAAGAGTCTATAAGGAAACTCATACATCCCAAAACAGTACTTTTCTCGAAAGGAACATAAGTTTCCCAAGTTGGGGACCAAAATGTCTCTACGATACAAAAAAAGATTGTTATTCAAGACATAAAAACACAGTGCAATGTATAAAATGAAACGTAAACAACAAATAATATCTATAAGCATGACTCTTACCAGGATAGTATATCAATTGAGCTAAAAACGTACAACAAAAACCAACATGTGCACACGAATATCTACACAAAAACAGCACGTTATTACAGTAATAAAGTACATGGTTTAAATGGTCTTTACATGTTTGTAAATGTTTATCGTCAATGCTAGTGGAGTCCTAAGAAGGAATGTTGGTGTTCACTGACATTTCGACATCATTAGCGATAGTCATCTTCAGAAGCAACACTTCAAGAGCCTTGACTCGGCTAAGGATGTTAACACTAACACCAACCGTCCTTCTCAAGACGGCACTGACCTAAACAATCAACATTTGCAAGCATGCAACACGCTTTCACAACTAACATCAAGCAAGTGATGTTACAATGCAGGGGCTCTGGTTCCTCTGCACAGTGCAAAAAAAATATTTATGTTAAAGTTGATCGTCTAGATAAGAGAAAAACGAAGGACTGTTGACAATGATTGCAATGAATGATCACATGACTACCGCTAAGAGAGATCGATAAGTCAGTCAATTTCAACCATCACCGAACAGTTTTTCTCAGGATTTTATTAACCTGGACAATCAACTTCCACAAGCTTTAAACGATGCACTGACTCAGGCATCTATTTACTTTAAAAACATTTTTAAAACATTTCTACGGAGCTCTACTGCACGTTGTGCATGTACTGGACCATTCGTTATTGACATGAAAAATCTTGCAGTAGAACGGAATTTTTACAACATATCACAGTGTAGGAATATACAGAAGAGCCACTTCACTGTGCAACTGGCTGCTGTATATCTAATTAGTTTACTGGCTGCCGTTTGCCATATCGTCAATCCTATTGGTCACAAAATGCAATTTACTGGCTGGCAATATGGTAATCGCATGCATAATAAGTAAGATATGCGTGGCACGAAAAAATTCAATGGAGTGGCCCTGCTGTATGTTCTCTATACTGTGACATTATGCCGCTTTTCTGAACGGCTTTAGCTACAATATAGATAAAAAATTTTCTTGACAATATCGACCATTGCATCATGCAATAAGTTGAACGAATAAAGCGTTTTCTTACTTGTACCTGCTCGCAGTGACTCGCAATAAAGACAAATCTGCGATGTAATTTGCTAAATACTCCACTTTGTGCTCCACCTGCAGCATACGACAGATTAAAGTAACTTTTTTGAAAAAAATATGAACATTGAAGTGCTAGTTATGCAGGAATGGATAGTTAAAAGAAAAATAACTTTTGTACGTCAGAGAGTGTTGTGAATGGAAAGTATCAGTCAAACGAGGAATTTTTAAAATAGAAAGGGTTTTGTTGAAAAGACAAATAGTATTGTAAAAATACAAAAAATATTGTAAAATAGAAAGACTATTGTAAAACATAAAGACTATTGTAGAAAATAGAGACTATTGTAAAATGTATAAAGACTATTGCAAAAAAGACAAAGACTATTGTAAAAAAAAGACTATTGCAAAAAGACAAAGACTATTGTAAAAAAGACAAAGACTATCGTAAAAAAGACAAAGACTATTGTAAAAAAGACAAAGACTATTGTAAAAAAGACAAAGACTATTGTAAAAAAGAAAGACTATTGTAAAAAGAGATAAAGACTATTGTAAATGTAGAAAGACTATTGCAAAATACAAGACAATTGTACACTAAAACGACTTGCGGTACCTTCATAAGTTTGCAGCAAAGTCTCACGTAGTTTGGAATTGTTAGCACCTACAAATGAGGAAATCTAAATACCACAACTCTCAAAATTCAAATTTTAAGCTAAATATTTTCAATCACCGATGTTGCGAGGTATAAATTTGCACTTGCTCGTTGGAGAAACTTTTAAACTGCCCAAAATCCCTTTCATCTCATCCTTAAGCTGGCAATTAATGGCCTTGATTATGTTAATTGAGCATGAATATTATCCCAACATGAACTACGAAATGCTACACACACAGCCCTGAGCGCTTAACCACAAATAAAACTAGTAAGCTTTACAACGCAAGTTACATAAAGTATAGATGTATGCATATGAAACTCAGCCGGTAAGACGAAGTCATCGCCAGTCTTCAGAGTGGGCAATGCACGTTTATCTAGCACCGGTAACTTCCAAGATGACATCATGGAAAATGCTGATGTTCTTGGATTGGTCGATGCAAATATTGCTCAGAATCCATCTTTCCGACGGTAAACACACGTGTCAAAAATACGAGATTAAATTACAAAATTCGGACAATCAAATGGTCGGACATAGAATTGTATATGTAGAATAATGGCAACAAAATAGAAAAGACTCTTGAGGCATTTGTACATCTTATTTTAGAAATACAGAAAGACTAATTATAAAGGCAAAAGGTGTAATAGTAATTAAAAGCATTTTCCGTCAAATCAAAGGAAAGTTGAACATGACATGCAATATGCAGATACAAAGTTAGAAAGGAAAATAAAAACATTTCTAACGTTGTCACGGATACTAAGAGTACCGTAAAAGTGTTGATGAGTTTGATATGCATTTTCCAAAACATGCTTAAGTCAAAGAACAATTTCAGAGCTCACTCCATCACAAATTGATTGAGAATAAATCCGAGCATGCGTAGTCAACTCCACTAATTCTCAAGTTCTTGGTCATGAAAGCATACTAGAACCGATTATGGAATAATTATCTCGCTCTGTCACAAATTTTCGAGAAATTATTGGCGCATGCGCAGTCAGCTTGACCTGCTGCTCAAGTTCATGGTCATGGCAACGACCAACTACATCTACTAGCACTGATTTCGAAGTAAATAGCATGCTTAGTAACAATTTAATAGAGAAATCATCTGCGCATGCGCTTGAGCATGCGCAGTCCACTTGACTAATTGTTAATAGTCAAGGCAACGACTAACTAGACCCACTAACTAGATGCACTACTTTCGCGGCAATTACCACGCTTAGTTGCAAATTATTAAAGAAATCATATGACTTAATACCACAACTTTCGTAAGCCTCTGAATTTTTGTATATATATATAAAAGTCAATACTAGGTATAGTAGATGTCAACTAGCAGTGGAAGCTGGGTGCG